CGAGGTTGAAGACCAGACGGACTTTCCGTCATTCCTGTTATCCAACACGGAGCAGATATTCTTGGGACTCGGAGAGTGATGGTGTTTTGCCGACACGGGTTTGTCTTCATCGCCTCTTCCGTTTTCAATAGGGCCCTCCGTCTTGGTAGTATAAATACGCTTGTTGTACGTCCGGATTTAATAACGCAAAGGGCATCCTTAGTCTTCGCGCTCCTGTCCTATCGATCCGCGTTTTGCAGCCAAATGGCGTCCACTCCGTCTCCTCCTACAACCCCTGTCGGAATTGTGCATATAATTGGTAGCCCTGCTGGCCGTGCCCTTGCCAATAAGGTTGAGGAAGCGTGTAGAATGGTCCAACCTCTCGAAATCTCGGACGAGGAGTATGCAGCTCGGGGAGATTGGGCTCCTCCGATCCCGGTATCCATCATTCTGCGCCAAGTGCTTCGCCCGGCCGTTTTCGTGCTTCAGCAGGCACTCAATCCCTCCTTTCATTGTGTCGGGTACGGGCGGTTTGAATTTCCGGTTTCCACCACGCAAATGGTGCAAGGCTCACTGCGCAAGTTAATAGAACTCGTGGTGCGTTCCGTTTCGTCACGGTCCTGCGTTCGGCTATTTTTATCGCCATTTGACCCGTTTCGTAGCATCTTATCTCGCTCACGGACCCGGAATACCCTTCGTATGTCGCTCTGTGGGACGGCGTGTCGGGAGTCCATCTTATCCCGGACGAGCCGCCCGTATCCGACGTGACTATGGGACAACTCGAAATTTTGGAATATATGGCGGAAGTATATGGATTCGCTGGTGAAATTACCGCTGAGGGTGTCCAAATGTCTGCTGCGCTCGAGCATCTGAAACGGGTGGCAACCTGTTGGGCCGCCCTCCTTGGTACACGTGGAGAGTACCCAGAATTCGAACGATCGGGGCGCATGATACGTCGCCCAATCAATACGGGGTGGTCTTCTCCGTCTGCATCGTAATATAGCTCCGTTTGTCCGTTTCATCTTTGAAATGTAATGATTCGCCCTGGTCCTCTTAGCAAACCGAGCCGGTTCGTTGGAAATTGCATCCGTATCCGAGCGTGATTTAAATTTCCTCGATCGTTTGACCGTTGTTCCGATTGCCAATTTTCTCTCCTGTTTTATACCATGGCGGCCATTACGCAGGAGTCGTTCGCCCCCCCTGCCTGGATGGCAGAGCTCGAGAGCGTCATTCATGAACTTCGCCATGGAACCCCCGAGGAACGCCTCCGTCTCGACACAGCGTCGGTCGAAATCCCCGACTGGCGTGAAGCTACCGATACCTGGCTTCCCTCACATAGTATGGCAGACCTGCTGCGATACTCCATTTGCCCGCAAGTTTACTTCATCCAATCCATTGTCGATCCGGACTTCACTTTATCAACTCCGTTTCCGCCCATGAAGGCAAGCCTTGGCCGGGAAGTCCGTGGTGCGATACGCCGCGTGCTTGATCAATTGGTACGCCTTCCGTTTGTATGGTCCGCATGCCCTCCGTTTTAATCGATTCGGACTGTTCTTCAGAAACTGCTTCACGACTCGCGTCCTCACTTCGCGAAGCTTGCGAGAGTAGCGCACAACAAGGTCCGATTGGAAGACATCATTGTTCCAGGCGCCAGCAGCAATATGTTCCGCATCCTCCGCATTATTATGGGCGAGCTTGGGTACGAGGGAGACCAAGGTGCCAGGCCGCAACCATACAATCCCCTCTTCGCATTTATACGCTTTGAGGATACGGCATTAATTTCGCGGGCCTCTCTAGCGCACGAACGAGAGTTTCCGGATTTCAACGTGGATGGTTCCTTGTTCTTTGCGCCCAGTATGTAGCTTCGTCTGTACGCATCCATCCGCGTGTTTCTTAGCACTTTCTATCTTTCCAAATTTGATGGTGCTTCGTCATGGCGTATCCCCGCTCCGTTGTGGACTATAAATTCCCCTTGGATCGTCCGTTGATTTTTTCACATCCCGCCCTTTCCTTCATAGGGCAATCAGTCCAAATGGCTCTCTGTTCCGCACTCCTTCGCGATTATCACCGTGGCGACCCATCATCCTTCCGTTCTCGGACCCAGTTCGAAGTTTTCTTCATAGACCTCGATACCAAAGAAGATTTGGTCCGGTTCCTTCGTCGTCCCGAGGTGGCCAGGTTTTCTCAACAGATACTGGCCCCCCTTCGCGACCAAGTCATGCTTATCTGTGACCGTTTCCACCTCGCACCGCCCGTGGCGCGAGATTCGCCCTGGATCCGTTTCCAGACCTCCATTTACATGTGTTCCTTGGTGCGTCCGTTTGCCATTGATTGATTGAATCTTTGTATTGAAGCCTTGGCAGTCCTTTATTCGGCAGGCCATAGTTCCAGACGATAGAGGCGTTCCAGCCAGACGGATCCCAACTCCGTCCGTCACCAGTCTCCTTTACATGATGCGCCTCATCCGTCGATTCGGATTTGAGGGCGACGACGAGGCTACCCGTGCCAGCAGCGCCGAAGATGATCTCCTCGTAGTGTTTAATCATGCACATGAAACGATATTCGGCATGGCTACACGCCTTGCGAGCTCGCAAATCCGTTTCTCCAATACGCTCTCCGAAATCCAAATGACACCAGCGCAGGGAGTGCTGTCATCTTCCCCGTTATTGTCCGTCCGTGTCACGAATTTGGACCACGAGCCCAACGTGGAACGCCACCGCCTCGATCCTGTAGTAACTTCTACCGATTCCGATTCGTTTGTATCCTTGTAGCGTAGATAATCGAATCGGGGTTCCACCTATTTTTGGCAGCTCCGTTTGCGTAATTTCCTTTCTGGGCCTAATCGTGGTTCTCGCGAACTCCGCCCACTCCTGTTCCGTTCTTGGTTAAAAAGAGTGTGCTTTGTCGAAGAAATCCAGCATCCTCTCTCCCTCCCTTCATGGATCTCTCCGTGATCGTAGAATGTGGCGAAGACGGCCCTTCCCCCCGTACCACTGAAGAATTAACGCGCATTCCGGAAGCGCTGCAGCTCCTTCTAGGCCCGTATCGCTCTCTCCTTCCCGATCCACGCCTCTACGGAGAAGACCGTCATGGTCTTCTTCGTTACTTTGAAGAGGTGGTGGGCCCGTACACCAAATTGATCGACAAGGGTTTTCCGACTCGCGCAATGGTCAAGCACCAAATGCGTCTGGAATCCGTTGAATTCTTGACCCCGCACGTAGGCGAACTGCTCCGTTTCCTCGTGGGTTCCGTTTCGTCTTATACTGCACGAATTTAATCCAATCCTCCTCAGGGACTTGCGTATGTGATTGCGCTGGAAATTGTGTCGAATTATGGCCCTCCCATGTTGTTCCCGACGGAGGCCATACGGACCCCCAGTCTCATGCAGAAGTTCGACAGCATCTTGGGTAGCCCAACGTACAAAGTCGGGCCAGCACTTCAATCCATCATCATGAGCTGGCTCAAGCTCATGATTGGTTGCGCGCGCCAGCGCCGTCTCAGCTACACGGTGTGATGCGGACTACGGTTCTGTGAACTGCCTGACCCGGGGTGGGTATAGTCAAGTAGTGTTTTACAGAATTTAATTCGTCCTCTAGGGGGAAATTGCTCTTTCGCAGAGCTGCGTAGTTTTAAGGTACGCTAATGCGCGATATATAATTTGTGGTGCGTGTGTGTGTACAGTTCTCTCCGTTTGGATTGAACGCTTTGCCAGGTTCCTCGAAGATTTAGTTCTTCGTTGGGGGCTGACCTTCCGAAGGTACCGCGGATGGATAGTTTTCTACACTTGCTCGAAGGGTACGCTCCGCAATGCGAATGCTGTTCCGTTCCGGAGTACTCGGGTTATCTGTTATGCTTTATCCACCCGTCTCGAATGTATCGGACGGCAGGTCTCTTCAGTACAGTGCAACACTATACGGATGGCTATAGTGATTCCCTTTGTAGCCTAGTTTCTCCGTTGGTGAACGCCTTGAAACGGAATCACTTCCGTTTCGAAGACTCGGGGGTGAAGTGTGCGAATTGAATGGGGGAAATGGTATGATCGCGTAGGATAGGCCTTCCGTGTACGATGGGGTGGGTTCCTCGCAAGGATATGCGCTCGAACTCCGAAAAGGAACGGTTGCACGAAGCCAAGTTAGGCGACTGGCCGTTTGGTGGTGTGCCGCGTTAATCTACTACCGCGCGCTTTCAACTCCGGATTGACTATATTTCCCCCGTATCGATTTATCGAAACGGAGGTGAGACGGACGGGGTTTCTTGACAAGCCCTGGCCTTCTAGGTGACCTTGGTTTGTCCTACTATTGGGCGGCACGACCCGTAGCGGAGTGTATTTTAATTTAGTTCCCCACCCTGGTGTACTTCAGCGGGAGTAGCTTTAGGTAAATGCAGTGGGAGGTAATAAGATAATCATTCCGTATCCTACAGCTGGCTTTTATACCGTACTCTGTCCGATACTCGCGCGCGTATTTATCCCTTTAATTGGAAACGGATGTTCCACCTTTTCAGTTCTGACTTGCCTCTGTGATCGCCCACGCGTTCCCAATTCCGAAGGGGTTAGAAATTGACTCGGGGCAGCCTCGTGTCGCCTCCGTTTCCCGTTTCAGTCACCCCGTTTCCCAAGAACCACCTCAGTTCTCCGTTTAGTCGCCCCGTTTCCCATACCGCAACCACTTCGTCTCTGTTTGTTCCCCCATTTCCTTCTCCCTAGTACCGGCCAGGTGGCGGAATGGCAACGCATGCGAGACAAATAAGAGAGCCTGTAATGTTTCCTCGCAAGGTCTCCGTTCGATTCGGGGTCTGGCCTTGATACACCATCAAGAAACTTTTGCCTCCGTTTCGTTTTTGAGTGAATGCGCGTCGAGTTTTTGAGTGGACGCATTGAACGGCCAGGTAGCTCTTACCAGAATCAATATTTTCCTGCTCGATGCTTGCTTGTGGGTTTCCGTTTGATTCGCAGTCTGATGTTCCTATAATTGCAGGCAGGTTTGTTTCGTCTTCTTGTCCGTTTGTCAAGTCGTAATCACGGCCAGGTGGCGGAATGGTAACGCGCGTGAGACGAATACACAGACTCCCAATGTCTCCGTTCGATTCAGGGTCTGGCCTGGCTGACGCAGAGGATCCTTTTTTGCTTGTGGTCTCGGTGAGGTCTCGGTGAGTACTTGCGGTCAGATAGTGTAACGGTAACACGCTTGGACTCGATACATTGGGATGGAGCGATTCTCCAAGAGTACCCTGTTCGATTCGGGGTCTGGCCCTGGTGGTGGTGTATCCAATGCTTTTTAGTCGCTGTCGTGAGTATGATTTTCCTCCCGTTTGGCCGCGTTCAGAGCGCATCACAAAGTGACAGCTCACAACGGACCCATCGACATCCCCCCTGTTCGCGACCTTGCGCATGTTCCTTGCGTACCCTCCTGGACTGTCGAAGAGATCGCGACCCTCCAGGAAGAAGAGCACAATGACCCTTGGGTGGCTGAAAAGTATTGGCTCCGTGAACGCGTCGAGGCGTGCAATCGGGCTGGAAAAAAACTGAGCGATGTTCTTGCCGATGTGGCTGGCGCCGAATGGTATCCGTTGATGCCTTCGTAAAGGCGTCCGTATTATAGCTCCGTTGTAGTACTCCGTTCAGTAGAAATTATTCTGACATGTCCGTTTCCGTATTGCCGGTTCCATATAAAATGGACACTGCACGACGCAGGTTTCTTCATGTCTTCTGTCCCAATTACGCAGACCTCTGACCTGCTGGCTAAGCTTCACTCCATCCTTCCACCCGCCACGGGTTCTAGGATGGAGCCTAGTCTTCGTGCCCTTTGGGTATTGCAAGTTCGCAACCTTTGCCAGGGAATCCATGAAACAATAGGCGGGAGAATATTCACGGATTTCCCTGCCCCGCTTCGCAACGAGCTCCGTATTGCGGTTAAGATCTTGCTCTCGAATATCGTGAGTGTTTTGTGCCTCCGTTTCGGTCACAGAGACGCGTGTGGTTAATCCCTCATGTTATTGTAGATCTTGATTGGCGCGACGAAGACCAGCGTCGAGAGCGATCCTTCCAACCCTGCGCAGTACTACGTTCCAGGTTTTGGAACCCTGATATTCGCAATGGCCGAGCAGTTCGTCATTTTGTGCGGTTACGAGGGCGATGAAGATGTTCCGAGCTGGGAGGGTATTTTCAGCGCCGTTGCGCTAATTCAGCATGCAATGGTTATCCATCCAGACTACGTGTCCACGCCTGTCGAGGCACCCGGTTATTCCTCTGCCCAGACCGATCCGTTCTTCTACGGAGTCGGTACGCGTATCAAGGCACGCCAGGTTCAGGAGATTCTTGAACACGGACATCTCCTTCATCAATTTGGAGAGAAACTGCTCCGTTACGATCACACGCTCGGTAGCCAGGCCTACCACCCCCCTACTTGCTCTCCAGACTCCAGAGGAGCGCATTTTTAGTGTTACCACCCCTTCGCTTCAAGCATTCCGGTCCGCGTCCACGCCTGCTTGATGGGTCCGATAGATCTTTCCGTATGGCTAGAGTAGTAGCGTCGGCTAGCCCACCCCTCCGTTACGTTTCCCTGGTGGAGATCTGATGAAATGGAAACGGAGCTTTTTATCGCATCTTGAGCTGACGCCGGTCCTTTATCAGGATAAGCTTAGTCGAGTTTGTGTCCTGGCATTCCCCTTCCGTTTCCTCGCTCGTCATGCCAGCGCCTTCGTACACCATCGACAATGCGCTCCCTCGTTTATACGCCCTTTCACTGCCTCCCGACGCGCTTTCTAAGCCATTCTATATCCCAAACGAGGGGTTTCCCAATTTTCTTCAATACCGTAGGCGTGTCTTTACGCACACCCTTTTGCGCGCCATAACGCATGACTTCGTCCATACGGAGTCGCTCCCAGGATTCCCTCGAATGGAATTGCTGAAGCTTCACGAATGGATTGAAATCCTAATGCTCCATTTTGTGAGGAAAACCATTACCATTTTTCTGCCTCCGTTTGACTGATCCGCGGAACCAATTCGCAGCGCTTGGTTTCGAGGACCCTCAAAATCCGCACGGAAAGGCTTTCTGCTGGCGATTTATCTTGGCTCGCCGTGCCGCTTGACATCCCAGCCGAGGCTTTCCAGATGCTCAAGCTGTCCGTCTACTTGTGCGATTTCGTGGCATTCGTTATGACCTCTCCGTTTCCGGCCGACCATGACATCCGTATCCTCTATCCTCTGATGGAGCTTTCAAAGCGGCAAGTCCTGTTGACTGGTGCTCGGAGCGATTATGCCGAGTACGATAGCCGCAGGCAGTATGAGCCGGCGAGCTTGCTCTTCTCCCATGCCAGTACGGTGCAAAACGCGCAGCACAACGTTATCCTGTCGCCCACCCCTCTCCATTCTGTCCCACTCGCCATCGGCTTTACTGGTGAGCGGAGAGGTCTTTTCCTCCGAACCAGATCCTAAAGTCCGTTTCGCTATACAGATTCCCCTTTATTTCTGGAAGAAGCGTCCTCCGTTTTGCGCCCCTATGTAGATTCCATATTCGACAGCACCTTTACTGGCGTGATGGGTCTAGGGGCAGCGTAGCGCAGTTGGTCCGTGCCCTTTTTTTCTTCACATTGTTCTCGAAAATGGTTCGTGCTCGGCTGTGGCCACAGCTGAGGTAGTCGTTAAGTTCGAATAAAATTCCCGGTAGCGCGATTCCGCAGGTTGATCAGGCCCTAGAAATCGTTAACGCCTACCAATACTTCCATTCAACGTGTTTCCTTAGTTGCTTCCTTGGTCATGTGCTGCGTCCAGCATTTCCTATATCCTTTGTCCTATATCTCGGTTTCCGGCTTGTTTCTTCGAACTCGCCCGGCTCAGGTCGACAGCTTAACTCAGTGTTTGTGGTTCCGCGCGCCATTCCTGACGTGATGCGTACTCCACCCTAATTTTTCTTTATAGTACGTGATTCCTCGCGCGCCCCGAACTCCTTTTCGGGCGTATGTCTCCTATTCGACGCGTTTTTACGCGTTATTATTGGTTGCACAACGACAATTGTGACAGATTCATGTCCCTCGGAATCTTGCAAGTGGCCTCCGTCTATGATTTACGCGTATTGATGAAAAGGTCCTCGGCTGCCGAAAAGGATCTATCCCCTAGCAGTTGACCCACGCGTCCTTTGACAGCTCCGTTGAAACGGGTGCTCGGGGAACAGACCAGAATGCTAAACTAATGCTAAAACTGACAAGCAAGATGCTTTGCTGCTTAAGCCAAATCCGTGGATAAGGCCTTCACAACTAACAACTACTAACCAAAACTAACACCAAAACACCCCTTTCAAGGTCTATCGCCGACGAGTAAAGATGCTTGTCCAAGATTACACGAATGTACTTCCAAGGACGAGGACCAAGTACCGAGATGGCTTAAGTAGTCTTTTTATGAATTGCGCTGGTTAAGCGTGAAAACACCGTTTGTTCGCCTTGTCAAGTGCAGAACCAATGTCCTGAACGCCTGAGTTGACTTGTAGATATTACAGCTTCTCAGCTTCGATTGCGATTCTCTTTAAGTAACCAATTCGGACAAAGTCCCACTTCGTGCACAATAAATCCTGTATTCTCTCGCTGTTTAACTTTGTCTGGAACCCGTTGTATAGTATCACTTTGTCTGGTAACCACAATTCCGTAACTCGGTCCGTTTGGTTTAAGGGTTTCGCAAATCAATGCCAGTCAACTTGTTATATTCGAGCTACTCCGTGGAGGTAGTCTTAGCGAAACAAGCCCTAGTCTCCCTTGGTGCGCGGGCGCTGGTAGCTGCTGGCTCTCTTGGGGGAGATTTCGTGCTGTCCTACTAAACTATGGCTCCCTTATATACATTTCCCACATACTAGTTACATACGCGCTATTATCATGCGGCGGTTATTATCCGAGCTTTAGTCGGTCCATTACAGTCATTCTATTCAGTCGGAAAGCTATCCGACTCCTTTGTTGCATTTAAAAGCGGACCAAGGTTTCACTTGGTACCTATGTCGATCGATCACTTAGTAAGTCGTTTTGTACCACCTCACACTCGAGGTAGCCGTTTATCCCTTAAGCAAGGATCCCTTGGTTGAACTCAGCCAATTAATAGCTCTCTGTAGACACCAATATGTTTGTGGTTCTGAACATGTAGTTCACATCATCAATAGCAATCTTGTTTTAGAAGGTATTGATCGGTTCCTTGGCAGTCCGGCCAAGTCGGACATCCGGCACAGTGCTTTAACCGACATTGAGTTAAGTACTGTGGCAGATCATGTGATCGGGCGCGTCGCGTTAAAGCGAGCAAACAAAACACAACATTTTGAGAAGCCGGCTTAAGGTAGGTTCTCCCTTCAGCCCAATATTAGACAGAGTGGATATGTACTAATCCCTTGATCAATTAGACCCTGTGGTGGCTTCTGAACCATTATCCAGCCATGCCTAAGTCATGCTCGACGTCAAACTCCTTAAGCAGTATGTGAATATTCTGCTTAAGCGGGTCACGCACGAACTGTGATTACCACAGTAAATCCTTTAACTAACCGTGCAGGATGACACGTTAGTCCTTGTTTAGGCTATGTGCGCGCATTAAGATGGTAAAACGACGTGATTTCTGCGTGTTCCAATACACGGCTTATCACCGTTTTGCTTCTTCGTAACGATAGCGTTTTTATAAGTACGAGCTGTGCGCGACCTTTCAATGAGTCTTATGCGCCCCGTCTCAGCAAATTATCGCCTTGGTCGGTTAGGGGCTGTTTCCCTTTTTATCCAAGTTCCTCCCCACGCTAAATTTGTCTCGGTCCCGCAGTGTGCCTGGCTGCGTAGTGACTTCTCCGTTTCCCTGCATAGAAGCCTTCATAGCCGACGGTCCGCACTGGCCCGTCTCTGTTCGGTGGTTACCGACGGAAGCATCGCGAAAATAGATCTGCTTCCGTTTGCGGGCGCCTAATTTCTTCCCCTCCGCACCCTCATTCCTTTCAACTCTCCCCACTTCTACTACGGCGATGTCCTCTCAAGCAGGCCCCTCCTCCGTAGGTTTTTACGCTCTAAAATTTGTTCTGTATTGATTTCTTTGTTCCTGTAGTCGCGTCGCGCACCCGCCTCCTCCGGTTCGTCCAGGTCGCGTCAAA